TGATATTGAGCTTGAAGTATTAACACACATAATATAAGCCCTAAACTAATTTACCCAAGCTTGATTGGTCTTCAATATGCTTGACTTGGTAATCTCGCGGATGAAGCTTGAACTTGATCTTTAACTTTGAATTGCAAGGCTTCACTCCACTATTCTGCCAACCTCCATTGGATATGATCGTTGAAGCTCTATTCCATCCATCCTCCAACTCGTTGTTTGCCTAGAAAAAAATACGAAAACACAAACACTAGACAAACAACATTAGAAGTAAATTATTTGTTAAACATCATCAAAATAAGAAGGCCAACACTATACTCACTTATTAATCACCTCAACACTCTTCTTTAATTTGTGAGTATATTTCAATTCAACTATAATTCAATCTTCCTCGGAATTCACTAATTTTTTAGACCACTTCACTCGTAGGCTAACCAATTCACAAACATTTGCACCACTCCACTCATGGGCTAACCAGACAACGCATTCAGAACATAGCTATCAAACATCCGTAGGAACTTCTACAACTTCACTCATGGTGGCTAACTAGACTATATCCTTCTTATGCGCATCCGTGGATTCTCCTGACACCTTCGCGCTTCACATCGAAGATCATATGTTTTTTTAAAATTATTTGGACCATGGCCTTAGCTCTGATATCATTGTTGGGAGAGACATCAAGCCCATCTAGAGTTGGTTGGTCTTAAATAGAAGTTAGGAATCAATTTTAACTCAAAAGCTATCAATTTTAACTCAAAGCTATAGCTATCAGGTATTGACCCAAACTCCTATTTAAACTCATCACTCTTTCTTATCTTATCTGATGCAGGACTATACTCACATATTAATCACCTCAACACTCTCTTTTAATTTGTGAGTATAGTTCAATTCAACTATAATTCAATCTTCAACGGAATTCACTAATTTTTTGCACCACTTCACTCGTACGCTAACCAATTCACAAACTTTTACACCACTCCATTCATGGGCTAACCAGACAATGCATTCAGCACATAGCTATCAAACATCCGTAGGAACTTCTACCACTTCACTCATAGTGGCTAACTAGACTATATCCCTCCTATGCGCATCCGTGGATTCTTCCGACACCTTCGGGCTTCACATTGAAGATCATATGTTTTTTTTTAAATTATTTAGACCATGGCCTTAGCTCTGATACTATTGTTGGGAGAGACATCAAGCCCAATCTAGAGTTGATTGGTCTTAAACAGAAGTTAGGAATCAATTTTAACTCAAAAGCTATAGCTATCACGTATTGACCCAAACTCTTATTAACTCATCACTCTTTCTTATCTTATCCGATGTGGGACTGGACTCACATATTAATCACCTCAACAGTAACCGCCATTCTAACGATCTTCCAACAATAGTCAAACATGTTTCTAGGTAGAATGGTCATCAACATATTTGCACTTTTGTCATCTGTATCAATCTTCTGCATGCTTTTTCTTGTTGAAGATATCTTGTACCCAATGATATTTGATATCAATATGCTTAGACATCACATAGTATTGGACTCCAACCAAGATGAACTCTATTTGACTGTTGCACAATAAAATATATGTTTTCTGCTAAAACCCAAGTTTTACCACAAATATATGCTATGTTAATTCTTTGCAAGTTTTTGTCGTGACAAAAAACTCTGCTTCCAATTGACAAACACATTTTTGCAATCTTGGCTCCAAAGCCACAACTCGCCTTGCAAATTTGATAATGTACCCTGAAATGAATTTCACACAATGGAGGTCTCCTTCCATCTTTAAATCTTTGTATCTAATTGTTAGCATTTTGGGTGGGTCTGCCAAAATAAACAAAAACTTGATCGGTGGTAAATAAAACGTAAGTTACAAGTACACAACTATCAAGTTATAGTATAAACGTTATAGTATAAAACTTAATTAGGGGTTAAGTGGGAGTATTTGCATTCTAGATTGTAAGTATAAATATTACTTGTGTTTCATATCTGGAGATTAATGGTATGAGATATGTATGTGAGGGTTTCCTTGTCTGGATTATCCCTTCAACATGCTTTTCTCGTATTATTAATCTCTAAGATACAATTGTGAAATTTTGAAGATGAAATTCTTCTGGGGGGGGGTGAATGTAAAATCCCGTAAATTTGAATATTGTGAAAAATAATATTAAATGATTTTTATCATGTTTGATACTATTCTGGGATGAATGAGTATGGTTGTAATCAATTTGAGATCGATTAAGTACATATATATGTTTTTTTAATAGAGTTAACATGCACGAACATAAGAAATCAGTCACTAGAATACACCCCTGGTCCGTCGATCGATAGTCAGCCATCAGTCGACAGATAGGCACTTATAAGTCGACTGATGACAAGCCATCGGTCGACCGACGGGTGCATAGTCTGGGAAGTTTGGGTTTCGGGTCAGTTTCGTTTTTGTTTTGCCCGTATGTGTATATAAGTATATATATTTATAATATTTCTCTTATTTTCCTTCATCTTTTATGTGAATAAACAGCCACCCTCACCCCTCAAAACCCTGGAACCTACTTTGGTGAATTTTGAAGAGCCTTGAGAAGCAAAATAAAGAGGAGGGCGAGATCGTGGGCTTTTGTCGAAGGAGGAATGTGTCTCTTGCGTTTTTGAGGAGTTCTGTAAAACCCCACAAATTTGAATATTATGTGATAAATGATATTTAATATGTTATACTGTGATAAATAGCATATTTTGATGTTTGAGTACATTAGAAATTAATTTGAGATCAATTCGGCTATATATTCCTGAGTATGAGAATAAATCAGCTTGCACAAACTTTTAGTAGTCGACTAATGTTCAGAGTAGTCGACTACTAATAACCAGTTGTCAGAATCTTAAATACCAGTGTAGTCGACTACTAATCAGGAGTAGTCGACTATCGAGAATTCCTTGACGTGCCAGGTTATAGTTTTTGGGGCAGATTAGTGTTGTCATCGAACCCAATTGATATCTTCAGATTTTAAACATGTAAAAACCCTAATTTCCTTAGATTATTCACTAGAAAATATAGCCACCTCCTCCCCCCTAAACCCTAGAGCCATTTTTGAGTTCCTCAAGGTGTTTTGAGATATGATATCGAGCAGAGGGAGAGATCGAGGGTTGTAGCTGAAGAAAGGACTTGGCACACACGTTTAGGAGATCTACACAATGATTGAGGCAAAATCTCTAGCACCCAAACCTTACATATAGTGTAGGTCTTGGATTATTAAGTAATATATGTAGGCGTCAAAAATTACCTATAGGTTCCCGCATAGAGCTCAAGATGAAGTGAAGATGATAAACGTCATCATCCGAGTCGAATGAGATGATCTGATGCCGTAAAGAAAGCAACGAAATGCATAAAATGAATCGGTGAAGCATACGAGTCTACAGAATAACAAAATGTGCATAACGGCATAACAAGAGCAATCCGGAAGTTTGTAAAAGCTACCCTGGCAGCCGAGCCACATCAAAATGACTCAGCCAAGATCGAGCCACCTTAGGGTGGCTCGCGCCCAAAAACGCCCGAAACGCGTTTTTGACAGTCCGAGCCACCTTGAGGTGACTCGGCCAAAGCCGAGTCACCCTAGGGTGGCTCGGCCAAGGTCCAACCACCCTAGGGTGGCTAGCACAGTGCTGAGCCACCCTAGGATGACTCGCACCCAGAAATGACCAAAACACGTTTTCGACGGTTTTCTCGGGATTCTTCTGTTCCAGAGCCTCCTAACTGCTTGGATATCATATCTAAACATGGTTATGCCACTATTAACTAAAGATAAGGCTGAATGCCTTGTTCTTATCCAAAAATCACTACAACAGAAATGCTAATCCGCGAGGAACAAGTTTGTCGTTGAAAGTCGAGATTTCCTCGCCGTAGTGTGTTCGCGAGGAAAAAACTTTGGTCACCATTTCCTCGCGGTAGGGTGGTCAAGAAAAGTTTCTGCGAGGAATATTATAATTTCTCACGAAATCCTTATTGCGATGAATATATTCTTTTCTCGTTGTTACTCTTTAGCCTCGATATTTTTCGTTACCTAATCTCATGCCTTTTTCATCGCTAAACTATAGTTTCCTCGCCAATGATATGTGCATAATATTTAATTTATATATAATAAAAGTTCTAAAAAAACTATTTTCGTCGTTGTAAGTACCTTTCAACGAGGAAATTGTTCCTCACCAAAGGTAAATCATTAACGAGGAAATTGATTTTCTTCATTATATGTATCTTTTCTCGTGGAAACAGTTCCTCGGTAAAGGGACTCAATGACGAGGAAATTTAAATTTGTCGTTGTAGGTTGTACCCCATAATCCTCGCCAAAGAAATTCAATTACGAGGAAATTTACATTTGTCGATATAGGTTATATGGTCTATAGCGAGGAAAATTACTTTTGCCGTTATAGGTTGTATCACTATAGCGAGAAAATATGTTTTTGTCGACGTAAGCAGTATACTCTATAACGAGGAAATATTCTTTTAACGAAATAAGTATGTGACCTATTGCGAGGAAACATATTTTCGTCACCTTAAGTTGTAGGGTCCATTTTGAGGAAATTTACTTTCATCGACCTAAATATATAGCGAGAAAACTTATAATGAGGAAATTTCAATAATAATGCTATTACGAGAAAAACAAAAAATATAAATAATTATCATCAATTGTCACCACAGTACATTAAAATAATTAAAATAAATAAAGCAAGAAAGGTACTACCATAAGTAACAATGCTAGTCTAAAGTAATAACAAATGCAACACGATCAAAGAAACATTTCTCCAAGTTTAAGATCACTAAGAATACTAAGCTGATGGATGTTGCCTCGAAAAATTAGCCATAAACTCCTCAAACTTTTTGGCTTGCTCCTCCAATCTTTGGATTACCTCATTTTGCGTATCGATCTTCTGTTGTTGAGTTCCTATAAGTTCTTGGGTCTCTTGAAGCTGTTCTTGCAACTCTTTATTCTTTTCAGACATTTCACTCATTGAAGAATGAGAGAACCTTAATGGTGGTGGTCTAGGGCCAAAACCACAGCCCTTAATGTAGACTGATTTGACTTTGAGAACTTTTGCACAAATTTCCTCATCTGTCATTGTTCGAGTTCCATCAGGTTAAGTGGTATCTGCTCGCATCTTTATCATTTGATCCTATAAGTAAAAAAAATATATCCAGTTCAATCATATGCAACTTCTTAATTACAACCTAATCAATATAATCCTCTTTAGAATAGTAATATCAGTTTCACCTATATTCTTAAAATATTATAAAAGCATGCATCATTGACACGTTACTTACCCATTTTTCCTTTGCTCCCAAGTCTCATCCTTTTTTTGTACTTCTATACTCTATTTCAAAACGATCAATTGCACCTTGCATCTCTCCAGTCTGTGTTGCCTATTGCATTCAAACATATTTTCATTTTTAGCATATATATATATGTATACAGTTAAGTTACAAATTTATAAGCAAAAATAAAAAGTGTCTTACAATTTGCTCTTGGTGTGACATAAATGATTTTGACCCAGCTTTGTGGTGATATGTCAACTTTGACCTATTACGAACATTCATCTCTGAGCGAATCTAAAATTATTAAGACATACAATTAGAAAGAAGTAAATGAAAAAAGAAAAAATGTAATGCTTGGAGAAAAATAAAAAAGATATTGTACCTTAAACTTTTCACTAGAAAAATGAGTGCAAAGAAACTCCCATTCTTCCTAAGTCTTGACAGCTTCATGTTTGTTTTAAATTGCCTCCTCAATTGTTGAAAACTGCTCAAAATGTTTCATCAACTTATAGCAAAAATTACAATATACGGTCTGACATGTTGTAATTACATATCTCTGAACCCAAGGGAGCGACATATCAAATTCAAACTTATTCTGCACAAGCATAATTTCATGTCAAACTAAATATAACAAATCAAAGCAACCGATATAATGCCTTTAGCAAAACAAATCATCACTAACCTGCATTCTTTTGATCAAGTTCTCCACATCTGCTTTTTCAAGCTTCTTCCATTTTTCCACATTCAGTGGGGCGTAGTTTCGAATTGTGTAACCAATTTCATTTGCAAACATCTCAGCATAAGGGCCCATAGGTTTGCCATTTTCTTCAATCAGAGTCACAGGTATTTTAGAATTCAATTGGGAGAACACCTTATCTGCATTCACTCCTCTTGTCTTCCCTCGCACCTTTTTGGTTGTACCTATGACATAAATTTTATTAAGAACATAACACATACATATATTTAATTCTCAAAATATTTGTATATAATGTTTTGTATACCTGGAGGAGGCTCCTGATTAATATCTGACATCACATTATCATCTCGCTCTTCAGCTATGGTGTTTACCACTGGCTGATCATTAACACTTTGTTTCTGACACTGCTGGATATTCCACTTTTAGCGACAGAAAATTCCGTCGCTAAAAGCCAATATTCCGTCGCTAAAACTTGTGGCGACGGAAAAAATTAAATTCCGTCGCTAAAAGTTTGACGTTATTACAAGGGTCCCTAAAAAGACTTATAGCGACGAAATTTCCGTCGCTAATTGTTAGCGACGGTTTATTAGCGACGGAATAATGGTCGCTATCGTAAAAAAATAAAAAATTAAAAATAAAATTAGCGGCGGAATTTCCGTCGCTAATAAAACTTTAGCGATGGAAATTCCGTCGCTAATGTTTAAAAAAATTCAGTCATATATCATTTCGTGCACGTTTTCCGTCGCTAAATATTAATTTAGTGACGGAATTTCCGTCGCTAATTAGTAATTTAGTGACGTAATTTCCATAGCTAAACCTTTTAAAAGAGGAATTTTTAAAATATTTTGAAAATTGAAAATACCCTGTACAATATCAATAATAATTTTTAAAAACCTGTTCAATCAACACAGTATAATATTCAATCTCACACAAATATCACATCTCACGCATATATCACACATTTAATTCAATAAAAGTAAGTAAAAGTTTCTCGACAGGTACATAATAAATATTGTTTATACAAGAAATTATTTTCAAAGTTATATTAAGAACAGTCAATCCTCCCGATCATCATCATCCTCATCCTCAACACCAGCCGCATTATGACTACCCCCGGCTGCACCTTGTGAAGAAGTCCCGGCCTGTAAATATAAATCAAATGTTAACAAGTGTGTGTAAACGTTAATAAGAGTGTAAATATAAACATACTACAACACAACACCACAACATCACAATACAGCAACACAACACAATACAACATAACACCACAACACAACACTACACTACATTGGACAACACATCACCATACATCACACCACAACACAACACAACAACAATAACAACAGCGCTCCATCACTACCATCACCACCATCAACACCCAATCCCCATTCCTCCCCCCCCACCACGACCACCACAACACAACACCACAACCAATCACATAACGACCCACAAACCAATCACATAACGACCACCACAACACAACACCACAACCAACCAACCAACCAACCCACTAAACAATACCACCAACACTACGCACGCATACACCATCAACACCACTATCATATAAAAACATTATAAGTATATATTTTGAGGTTTGTGTTAGGGTTAGAGTTAGAGTTTGTGTGTAACAGTTTGTATCAGTGTGTATCAGTATGTACGATATCATCTAATTAAAAAAAAGTAAAGTATATATATTACCTGTGACGACAGAAACCGTCTCCTATATGCCTCCTGAGCCTCCTGAGGCAGAGTCGACATGAATTGTGTGAACTCCAATACGGTCTGCTCCCGGCGCCTCCGTTCTTCCTCTGCAACCCGCTGATATGTTATTTGCTGCGACTGCCAATCTTCAATTGCTTTTAATCGCTGCTCCATCGAGTCTTGATATGAACTGCTTCCTGGTGTTCCTTGTGGTGCTGCAGACTCGTAGGTGCTACTAGACTCGTGCGGCCTCTGCTCGGATCCTCTCCACCGGTATATGTTCTTCCTACTGGGTCCAATGACCATCTCGATGATGGAGTCCTCCTCCTATCTACTTAGCCGGCCAGGAGTGTTAGAACAGACCTGAGATTGAGTCATTTGCTCCTGTACCTTGGCATGTAATTTCTCCTACGATATATCAAAACAACCCGGGCAAGTCGACTTACTAATGGTACATTGATATGAAATTGAATATATAAATGAACTGCTACTTACACACAGATCCTTATTCTTTGCTTTCTTCTCTTCATCGGCGTAGTTCGGGCTCCAGGAAGTCAAAATACGATCTGCAAAATGTCTGAGATCTCCTCGTCCCTATTTTATCCAAATATATCATTAACCCATAACACATAAATTATACTCAACTTAAAAGCTAATATCTTATATACCTCAAGCTCTAATTGATGATAATGTTGGCTGAAGGACCTGGAGCCCCCGTGATGCTCGTAACTGTGAGGCGCGTTGCGATTCCTCCTTGCTATTTCAGCTTGAGCCTGCAAAACAATGTCAAATCGAAACAATATAGAAATTCAAACAATAAATTAAAAATATATACTTCAATAATACGTCCAGGCACACACTCGTCAAGATGCCAGAATCGCTCCCAATCTTCTGTTATTTGGACAAAATATTTCTTCTTTACCTCAAACCGCCATCTCTTGAACGATAAATTGATTTGCCCGAAGCAGTACGTATATATCTCCAAATAAACTAATAACTAATAATGATGAAAATTGAAATAAATGACTCACACATATATATCTCCAACAAGCCACCAGCGCATCAATCCGCTGTGCTTTCCACGTCAAAAAAATATTGAAGAAATCCTGTCTCCTGGCTAAAGCGGCAAGAAAATTGTTGAAAGCATTGGCAAAGGCCCCGATAGGCACTCCGTTTTCCCATCGGATCACAGCCCTTCGATTAATATCGGGGATGAGGTTCGTTTCCTTAGTAGCATTGTGGTCGCGTCTAGGAGGTCACCCGGTACCTGCGAAACAAAGAATCGAATGAAACAATGAATCAATCTATATTTGCGAAAAAAAATTAAAATAATAACCGATAAACTATAAAAATTTATTCATACCTTTCAGTTCGAGGCATCTACGCTTTGCTTGTTCGTACCTATGCTGCGCGATAGGGCGCACCGCATGATAAGAATCCCATTCCCCCTCACCTTGGTCGGACCGTGGACTCGCTGATCCGTAATAGAATCTGGCGGTAGTGCCGCAGCTTCTAAAGCTGCGCTATACGGCTCAAATCTCCTCTCCTCTAATACATCTGCATGCGGTGGCGATGGTATCTCCGCATGCTGTGTAGGATCAGCCTGTGTCTCCACGTCACGTGGAGCATCTCCGCGTGATGTGTCCTGTGGTTGCGAGTCATGTGTAGCATCTCCTCCTCCTGTGTAGTAAATGTTAAAAAAATATTAGGCTCATGTTAATAGTTTATAGAAATGTACAGATATAACAAAATAAATAAAAATACCTGATGTAGAGGCATGTGTGTCGCCTCCAGAATGTCTACCAAATAGTCTCTCAAGCACTTTCTTACGTAATCCTTTTGTCATCTATACTTTGAAAACATAGTGAATATCCAACAAAAGTATATAATGCAAATTATTAATAAAATAGCACATAGCAACAGAATCGCATGTACAAATTATTAATAAAATAGCACATAGCAACAGAATCGCATGTACATGATGTCCAGTTAAACAGATAATACAAAGGCAATAATGTAATACATGACACACCGTGATACATGATAACCAGTCAAATAGATAATATAAAGGTAATAATATAATACATGACACATCCACATGATAACCAGTCAACCAGATAATATAAATGTAATAATATAATACATGACAATCATGATACATGATAACCAGTCAAACAGATGATGTTGAGGCTCTACTCTGTGATCGTGTGTGGATAGCCTGCGACCGTGTGCGTGCCAACGAAAGGACTGTTCTTATAGTTTTACCGACTCTGCTGCGGACAGGTTTTTTACCTTTACGCCTTGGCTCACATATAATCGCAGGTATATCAGGGCGCGCTAGTGCAATTTCATCGTCCAAATTATTATTTTGTGTCAATTAAAACTCCTCGGCTAAGATAACCTCCTCATCGTGATCTTCGTCAGACACGACTTCATGAATGTAGGCTCTAGGCGGATTCTTAAGGATAACCCATTCGTCATTTTTCATTATATCTTTGACATAAAAGCACTGTTTGGCGTGAGCAGCTAACATGTATTTTTCAGACTGATATATTTCCTTGTTAAGATTAACGATTGTGTAACCGTGGTCATCCTTCGCCTTTTTCTGTTCACACCAACGAACCTTAAACATCACATGACTGACTTCCTTATTAATCCCATAGAAAATCTCCATGATGTCTTTTACCTGACCGTAGCAATAGATTTCCCCTTGTATCGGATTTAGATCTTTTGCACAAGCGTATGACAGTTGCGAGAAGGAGCAGAACACACCGCTGTTTTGCGTTTGTCGTCTCTCTTCAAGACCGTCGATGTTAAACCTAAAGCCGTTGACACAGTAGCCTCCATAATGCTTAACCACATTAGAAGGACCTCTGGCATAT